AGTAGCTGTGCTGTGCCATCGTTGAACGCCATAGACTTGGAGCACTGCACTTGCAAAGTAGACTGTAATTTTATAACTGCTTGCTATAGTTATGTACTAAAATTAAACACGTTAAAATGTTTCGATCATACAAGGTATGCTTTATATATTTATTTATTTTAATTTATTTGTTTATTTATTGATTTATTTTTAAATTTATTTATTTATTCATTCATTCGTTCGTTCGTTCGTTCGTTCGTTCGTTCGTTCGTTCGTTCGTTCGTTCGTTCGTTCGTTCGTTCGTTCGTTCGTTCGTTCGTTCGTTCGTTCGTTCGTTCGTTCGTTCGTTCGTTCGTTCGTTCGTTCGTTCGTTCGTTCGTTCGTTCGTTCGTTCGTTCGTTCGTTCGTTCGTTCGTTCGTTCGTTCGTTCGTTCGTTCGTTCGTTCGTTCGTTCGTTCGTTCGTTCGTTCGTTCGTTCGTTCGTTCGTTCGTTCGTTCGTTCGTTCGTTCGTTCGTTCGTTCGTTCGTTCGTTCGTTCGTTCGTTCGTTCGTTCGTTCGTTCGTTCGTTCGTTCGTTCGTTCGTTCGTTCGTTCGTTCGTTCGTTCGTTCGTTCGTTCGTTCGTTCGTTCGTTCGTTCGTTCGTTCGTTCGTTCGTTCGTTCGTTCGTTCGTTCGTTCGTTCGTTCGTTCGTTCGTTCGTTCGTTCGTTCGTTCGTTCGTTCGTTCGTTCGTTCGTTCGTTCGTTCGTTCGTTCGTCCGTTCGTCCGTCCGTCCGTCCGTCCGTCCGTCCGTCCGTCCGTCCGTCCGTCCGTCCGTCCGTCCGTCCGTCCGTCCGTCCGTCCGTCCGTCCGTCCGTCCGTCCATCCCTCCGTCCGTCCGTCCGTCCCTCCGTCCGTCCGTCCGTCCGTCCGTCCGTCCGTCCGTCCGTCCGTCCGTCCGTCCGTCCGTCCGTTCGTTCGTTCGTTCGTTCGTTCGTTCGTTCGTTCGTTCGTTCGTTCGTTCGTTCGTTCGTTCGTTCGTTCGTTCGTTCGTTCGTTCGTTCGTTCGTTCGTTCGTTCGTTCGTTCGTTCGTTCGTTCGTTCGTTCGTTCGTTCGTTCGTTCGTTCGTTCGTTCGTTCGTTCGTTCGTTCGTTCGTTCGTTCGTTCGTTCGTTCGTTCGTTCGTTCGTTCGTTCGTTCGTTCGTTCGTTCGTTCGTTCGTTCGTTCGTTCGTTCGTTCGTTCGTTCGTTCGTTCGTTCGTTCGTTCGTTCGTTCGTTCGTTCGTTCGTTCGTTCGTTCGTTCGTTCGTTCGTTCGTTCGTTCGTTCGTTCGTTCGTTCGTTCGTTCGTTCGTTCGTTCGTTCGTTCGTTCGTTCGTTCGTTCGTTCGTTCGTTCGTTCGTTCGTTCGTTCGTTCGTTCGTTCGTTCGTTCGTTCGTTCGTTCGTTCGTTCGTTCGTTCGTTCGTTCGTTCGTTCGTTCGTTCGTTCGTTCGTTCGTTCGTTCGTTCGTTCGTTCGTTCGTTCGTTCGTTCGTTCGTTCGTTCGTTCGTTCGTTCGTTCGTTCGTTCGTTCGTTCGTTCGTTCGTTCGTTCGTTCGTTCGTTCGTTCGTTCGTTCGTTCGTTCGTTCGTTCGTTCGTTCGTTCGTTCGTTCGTTCGTTCGTTCGTTCGTTCGTTCGTTCGTTCATTCGAAAACACACACACACACACACACACTCACACAGACACACAGACACTCGTACACACAGACAAGATTGCAAAACTATGTTTTTCCGACACAGGGAGCCCTAAAACGTCGAGATTTGCTAAATTCTCGATTTTTTTTTTACTTTCTCGTATATACGAAGTATAGAGAAAGTTTTGTAATCGTGCAAAAAAAATCGAGATTTTTACAAATCTCGACGTTTTACACCTCGCTGATACGGAAAAACATAATTTTGCAATATTGTCCGTATATCTGTGTGTCTGTGTGTTTGTGTGTGTCTGTGTGTTGGTAAACACGATAACTTGAGTACTGTTACAGCTAGGTTGATGAAATTTCATAAGTATTGTTTCAAATACGTAAATCCTATTCATTTTTGGAGCGATTTCCGATAACCGGAAGTGGTACTTTTTTTACTTTGAATTTTTCAAAAGCCTATAACTTGAGTACTATTTCAGATAGATAAATGAAATTTCGCACGTAAGTAAAAGATCTATTTCTCTACCTTCTATCAAATTTCCGTTGACCGGAAGTACTAATTTACGCTATTTCCGATTTCTCAAAAAAACGCATGTAAATGTATAAAGTACTAATAATATTGCGCACTATTATGCACATTTCATTTCACTTGGTGTGCAATTCTTTTTTCTACGAGATTTTATTCTATCTTCAAAACTTTAAGTATTTAAAATGGAGTTCCGATTCCCTGTTGTTTTATATAAGAATATTCGAGAAAGTTTAGGGGAGATCACTCCCGGTTTAATTTGTGCACAATTGCAAGACTTTCTCTATGATTCATATATAAGGCAAAGTAAAAACGCTATGCGATTTCTTTCTATACACGTTGTGTAAAAATAAAAGTCGGATGTGGTTTGATACTGTTCATCCGAAAATTTGGGGAGTTGATAAGATTACTCATCGGAAGGTTTCCTGCACACACAAAAATTCTAAATTTACGGTTTGGTGCCGTTTTGCTATCCGTTGATTGTATGTCCTGCATAACTGGTGCGGGGTAGTACTTGATTCGGCGATAAAACTGCACCAGTAGCATCCATCGGCGCCCCGGCGAAGAAGTGACCCAAAGCGATCATTACGGCTTCTACATTTGTTTTTAAAACAGACATGATTGGCAACAATATTTGTTGACTATATCAAATCAGGCGCGTCCTCTGGCACCCCGGCATGCGACGGTTTGGCGCCCCGGTCTCAGCAGCGAGCACTATGTCGCCGGCGTTTGTTTTATAGAATGATATAGGTTATGGATACAATGGATACAATGGATTACTAGATCTATAGCCGCTCACTAAATCGAATCAGGTGCGTCCTACGGAGCCCCGGCAGGTGCGATTTGGCGCCCATGGCTATCATGTGAGCACAATGATGCGCCTACGTTAGAGTGCATCCTACAATAACGACATGGTATTACACGATATTCGATTAAACCGAGCCAGTATTAATGGATTATGTATTTTTTCGGTTATGTTCAATAATACATAATTTAATTGTTATTTCTTTGGGTTCAAACACTACTATCAATTTCAAATAGGATACGATTGGCTGCTCTTCTAATTCGAGAATATAATAATTTTATTATAGAGAAACTAAAATCTAGAACTAAGGTCACTTATTAACTTAGCTTTGTGAACTCCTATTCTAGGTCAACTAATAAAGACGGATATTTCTCATTTGACCTACATTTGCTATACACACAAAGCACGTGAACAAATACTGTCCTAAATTACAGTGTTCTTCCATGCTCAATGCAGCTGCTGTGGGTACTAAGTGTCACTGCTGTGGGTACTCAGTGCCACCGGTGTGGGTATTCACTACTATTGTTGATGGTACCGTTTGTTTCCGAATTCGGTTCTTCGTGCTACGGCTGTTGTGCTCGAATGATTCTGCTACAGATTACTAATGACAGTTCTGTAGCTACATATTGCCACTGGTATGGGTACTCAGTGCTGAAACAGTGGGTACTGAGTGTTGAGGCCATGTGTACTGAGTGCTAAAGCTGTGGGTACTCACTGTTGAAGCTTTAGGTACTCAGTTTTACTGCAGTCGATTGTTGGTGTCAGTGCTGTGGGTACTCAGCGCTGGAGCTGTTGGTAATCGATAACGTTGATATAGGTACTCAGCCTTAGCAGTGGGTACTCAGTATCACTGCTGTGAGTGCTTAGTGCTCAAACTGTGGTTGCTCAGTGTCACTCATATTGGTACTCAGTGCTGAAGATGTGGGTACTCAATAACACTGCTGTCGGTACTTAATGCCAGTATAATGCCACTAATGTGGGTATTCAATAGCACTGCACTAGGTAGTTTTTGTCAGTATTCAACCTTACTGTATTTGTTACGAGGTGTAGGTCTATACTCAGTGTTATTATTGTCAAGATCACTGTGAAGACCTTTCTTTGGTGGTATCCAGGAAAGTGGTCGACCATCTCACTTCCTGTTGTCCATTTATTTTGTATGTTTTCCTAATATTTTACAATGCTATTTCAAATCTAAATTCGTTAAATTGTACCCAGAAACATGATCACACTACTCCAGTATCGCTCTCTCTCCATACGCAAATGTCAATGAAACAGGTGAACTCTACTTCACCTACTACATGGACAGTAACGTTCTAAATTGCACTTTTATTCATAGACCAAGACTATATTGTAAAACGTTTACTTTTTTATAATCATACTTGAATGAATGACAGCTTGGTGATGCATCGTATTTCGTTATACCTGCTTGGCACCCAAGTATCATTTTATGTCTTATTGCCGGATGTCGCGAAAGCGCGACAAACCGTAATCAGCAGATAAGTTCCAAGATTATTCTCATATGTGATTTATACTGCTTATATACATAAAAGAGTGAATAATAAAGCTATTAGTATTTTGTGTAGCAAAAACGGATCATCTATTTAGTAATAATAATCAATGTTAGTAGGCTGAATACACGAAGACAAAAAAAATACGATGCGCGTGAGTCAAGAGAGTGTGACGTCATAAATTTCAACTTGACAACGTGACCATTGGTACCGATACAACCGTCTGGGTGTACCCAATACACAACGACCGGCAGCAGTAGGATAAATTTACCTATGCGCATATGCTATGCGCTAAATCGGTATGTCGCGAAAACGCGTCAGTCGGCGTTACAGTCATTTGTTATTAAAAATAAACGAAGCTCCAACAAAATTGTTAAGTAATTGGCTTTATGGCATTTAAGTTTGCCAACACATTACTGTTGAAATAACAAAGTATCACAACATTGTCCTTTGTGTATTAATAATTTTGATGTAAATATGTAGGCGTATAATAATTATTGTTCAATATTATTTGTATTTCTTCAGAACTTTTTGCTTCAACCACCAAAAGAATTGGATTTAATTTTAATTGGAAAAAGAGGAAACGGTAAAAGTGCGTCTGGCAATTCAATTCTAAACAAAAAAATTTTTAGACAAAGCGATTGTTATGAATTAGAAACTACATATCCATCTTATGATACATGCGATTTTTTTGGCTACAAAACACAAGTTGTTGATTGTTCAGGAATTTTTGACAGTTACTGGAATGTTGAACAAGGAAATGAAATGTTGTTTCGTATTGCAATTCAAAATGTTGTATTAGCCAACCCAAAAGGTTACCACGCTTTTATTATTGTCATAAGATTTGGGGGACGCTTTACAATCGACGAAATAGAAACTATCAAACTTATAAAAATAATTTTGGGAGAAGGAGTCTTGGAAAAATATGGCATTATTTTAATGACAAATGGAGACTCGTTTAAAAGGCATCCTGATTTAACCCTAGATTCGTTTTGTAAAAAGCAAACTGGATTTTTTAAAGACATACTATTAGAATGTAAAAACAGAATAGTTGTCTTCGATAATGTGACAGATAATGAAGACACTAAAATGAAACAGAGACAAAATTTATTTGAAATGGTTAAGAGTCTAAATAATAATGATCAAAGATATCAAAATGAACATTTCAAAAAAGCTAAACAATTATTAAAAAATGAGCATGCTTATCAAAGAAAAGATTTCATAAATACGCAGAGTTTTATTTTAGATACAGATAATCCTGAAATTTTGAGAACGATTTCGGAAGATGTTCATACATTGAAACTGAAGGGAGCAGATATCACCCCAGATGAAAAAAATCTAGTAGAGCCAGTAAAACATTTGTTAGCAAACCTTGATGAGACACAAGGCTTTGTTGTTGAACGTATACAGGCGATAAGTAACAATACAAATACAAAACATAAACAAGAGAACGCTGACCTGGGTACCAGATTTCAAGATATTTTACAGAGTTTCCAACACTCAAAGAAAAGATTCGATTACGCTTATTATCCTCTTTTGAAACATTGTGTTAAAAAAATCTGGCGACATAGATAATCATTGTCTCATTAGAAAGTAATCAAAAGAAATGAGAAGTTTTTATTGTTTTTTTATGTATAAATAGTAGTTTATTCTAATATTTCGATCTTATGAGAATTTTTTTTCTGTAAACACTTCATAAGTGATAAATTGATTGAGTGATTATTTGTTTGTTTGTTTGATTGATTCATTGTTTGTTTGATAGATTGATTGATTGATCGATCGATCGATCGATTGATTGATTGATTGATTTGATTGATTGATTGATTGATTGATTGATTGATTGATTGATTGATTGATTGATTGATTGATTGATTGATTGATTGATTGATTGATTGATTGATTGATTGATTGATTGATTGATTGATTGATTGATTGATTGATTGATTGATTGATTGATTGATTGATTGATTGATTGATTGATTGATTGATTGATTGATTGATTGATTGATTGATTGATTGATTGATTGATTGATTGATTGATTGATTGATTGATTGATTGATTGATTGATTGATTGATTGATTGATTGATTGATTGATTGATTGATTGATTGATTGATTGATTGATTGATTGATTGATTGATTGATTGATTGATTGATTGATTGATTGATTGATTGATTGATTGATTGATTGATTGATTGATTGATTGATTGATTGACATTCTAGCCGCTGATTGATTGAAGTCATTGGTAAAATCTAGATCTTCCAGCCTTTTGGTGAAACTGTACTAGATTCCGGTGTCGTTGTTTGTAGTTTTCTGCATAATCCAGTCGATTGCCAGCAAGAATGTCATTGGCAATAGCATACATCCCTGTCTCACTCCCTTCTTAACTGTGAAGGGGTAGAATGAAAAATAAACCTGGAGTGATCTCCCCTAAACTTTCTCGAATATTCTTCTACGGGGGATGGCAACTCGGGATAGGGACAATATTTGTAATCCATTTTTAATTACTTAAACTTTTAAAAATTGAATAGAATCTCGATGAAAAAAAAATGCACACCAAGTGAACTCCAAACAAAATGTGTATAATAATGTGGACAAATTATTAGTACAGGGTAAATCTAACATTGTGTATGTTTGGGTTGGATACTGAAGTTTGCAGTTTTTTTTAAATAATCTCATTACAACCGACAAAGCTATTGATATGCCTCTACCCATGTCACCGCCATTATCACTGTCCCCACCCAGAGAATAGGAGCTACCCATTTCACCGCCCTTGATTATGTCCGCTTCCAACAGTGACAAACAATGTGCGGAGGTTACGATCACTACCAAATTGTTAGATTGACTAACACCTGAAAATACCTATACATTTTCTTCAAACCTAACTCAGCCAACTGATTTGGATAGTCCAAAAACTATACTGAATGAATCATTTCATCAAACCACACAATTGGAAAACAGCTTAAGATCCTCTATTTTGAATGAAATCACCAGTGTTAAAAAAGCTTTTAAAGCTGAAAAATTACAGTTTAACAGCCAGCTGGAAACACGTGAACCTTAAGAAGCGCGTTATTAATCAAGAAAATACTTCTGAGTTACTACAAAAACAACTCACAACCAAGAAGCCCTCTTGCAGCACTATACCCACCTCAACATGTGAGGATAAAAAACAACTAATAAATGAAACAAAAATACCATCGGCAAGCAAAATGCAAGAAGCTCCGTTCCCAATCCCTGTTAAAATTACACAACGTGAAGACAGAGCGCGTTTATCCAAACCATTGGAACAGTAGAGTCCCAGCACCCTGCTTCGACAACGCACTGAAAGTGATTCTACACAATACAGCGTCCCAACGGTCAATCTGTCCCAGTTGTCCAACGCGCTACTCACTACGGCACTAATAGAGATAGCACACGACATGTCGCCGTCCCCTACACCAACCAAACAACGAAACACCATTTGACACTTGGTGACTCTACACTTAAAGGTGCCCATCCTGATATAATGGCCACGGATCATTACCAGCGTGTATTGGTAATAGCGCTGCCTGGGGCAAATTTTGATTAAAAAAATAGGGACATTATTAGTAGCCGCTCACGTGACTCTAGCACCACAACTGTAACCTTACATTGTGAAGTCAACGACAGTCTATCAAACGTTAGACTGTCACAAGCTAATATGCTAGAAATTGTGAGATGTATCACACACAAATTCCCAACGCAAGAATCCGAATTTCATTCATTGTACCCCCATGTCGGGGCAAGGATAGGCACTTGATTGAAATAAATAATAGATTTTTACAGTCTTTCTGCATTGGTTATAAATACTGTTTTATAAACAATACACCTTTTTATCACTGCTAAGTCAAGTGCTCCCAAACCACGCTTTTACAGTGACAGTATTCATTTAACTAAAATTTGTAGCAGTATTCTCGCTAAAAATATGAAGTATACCCAAAGAGCCGCACGTTTAACAGATAAAGACCATGTGCACCTTTCAAACGTAAAAGGTACAAGGCTGATTTGGTTTATGTATCTTCGACTGTTGAATTCCACAAACAATATCTTAGGTAAATTGAACTCTAGCCCAGACAATGTTTTGCTGAACCAAGGCTTACATCACTTAATGGGCTTTAGCCCTTTGTTGCTTCATCAAGCTCTAATGTTGTCGCTTAAGCGCCTTCCTGTTGAAATTAATGATGCTCATTGACTGAAACCTACACATTTTTACTTACTATTCTCTACCAGTTTAACTCTCGGTATCTCTGGTATTTGATAGTACAGTAATACTTTACTTTCCATTTTCATTTCACATAATAGTTTCAAATATGTACTATATTAATTATAATACATATTGATACAATTGTACATTTATAAAGCAATATATATATATATATATATATATGTATATATATATATATATATAGGGAGAGAGAGAGAGAGAGAGAGAAAGAAAGAGAGAAAGAGAAAGAGAGAGAGAGAGAGAGAGAGAAAGACAGTGAGGCAGTGTGAAGAGCAGCGAGTGCTTGTTTTATTGGGTGACAAAGTGTGAAATAGTAAGATAGTTATATTGATTCTGTTTAAATTAGTGTATTAGTATTGATTTTTGTTTTTAATATCTCTTATTCATTGATATTGTATCTTTATGCATTGTCTATTTTCATCATCCTGGCCCTCACAAAATGGGCTAAAATTGGGCCATTTAAATATTTTCCACATATTTAATAAACACCATGAAGTTCTAAAAATTTTAAACAATTCCAACAATCCTTTCCATATCTTTGGTTTTTCTGGAACTCGATTACAATCTTTTATAAATGATGTTGAGATATCCGTCTCTGATTATAACCAAACACGCAGAGACCCATCCTTTCACAAAGAAACTGGCCTTTGTGTCTATGTCCACTTCTCCATTCGTTTTAAGTACAGGAAGGATCTGTCAACGGACCATATAGAATGTATATGGGTTACACTGGAAAATAGCAAATACCACCAGGCAAATTTAAATTGCTTCCTTTATAGAAATCCCTGCGAAAACATGGAATGGTATGATCGTTTTTGCTCCATGATTGATTTTTATCTACTAACAATGAAAATATCCTATTTGGAGATTTTAATATAAATTTTCTAATACCTCAAGGATATTGGCAAGATATTGTGATTCTCTGAATCTACAATTTGTAGATACGGCTACCAAGGTTAATGATAAATAAAGTGCAAAAATTGATCACATCTAAGCATCACCTGACTGCAACCTAATAGAGGTCTCTGTTCCCTCTTGTGGTGTTAGTGACCACTTCCTTGTTTGTTGTACTTTTTCGACAAAAAGATTATGTGTACCTTCGCGGCAACACATAACTATAAGTTATCGCTCATTTAGAAAATTTAATGAAAATCTTTTTCTTGCGGATTTATTGGCTGTCCCCTTCTGCAACGTATACAATTGCAATTGTCACGATGTAGCCAATTCTGAATAGCTTCGTATTTTCTATACTATATATGATAAACATATACCTAAAATCTCTAAAAGGGTTAAGACTACAAAGAAACATTCTTGGTTTAACAACAATATCGAATCTGCAACTAATAAAAGAGACTGGCTTAGACGAAATGGAACTACCGAAGACTTTTGTAAGCAAAGAAATTATGTCAAACTGCTCGTGCGTAGGTCGAAGAAGGTGTATTTTAATAAGTTATTGTCAGGCAAAGCTAATTCCAAATCTATCTGGACTGCCATAAATCAAATAATTAGAAAAAAAACGCACATGCAATACAGCTGGACATTGCCAGATATCTTCTGATGACTTCAACAACCCTTTTTATTTCATCTGTAGCACTCAACACAGATGCATGCTGATTACACAATCAGTGAGGATCTTTAAAAAATTTGTAATTCTGCTCACCGTGGTAGGGCAGCGCTGCTCACTGTTCATGAAGTTTATGTTAGCCTAAGATCTCTTAAACCGTCTACAACAACTTCGTTTGATGACATCTGTAATAAAGTATTGAAGATGTCAGCTCCAATAATGTCTGATGTTTTAACTTATATCTATAACCTCTGTATTGCCAAGCATTATTACCCGAAACATTTTAAGCATGCTAAGGTTATACCACTACACAAAAAAGGTAACATCCAAGATGCTAATACCTACAGGCCGATTTCCATACATTCTTCTCTCTCCAAGCCATTAGAAATGCATATAAACAAATTAATGTCAAACTACCAAGAAAAGCATACGCTTTTCCGTAGTAATCAGTCTTTGTTTAGAAAGCTTTGTTCTTGTCACACAGCTTTGATTAAAATGAATGAAAACTTGCTCAAAAATATTAACATTATACATTAATGATCTTGCATTGCCCATCGACGCAGGTCAGTGCGAGATGTTCGCTGATGATACTTCGTTACATGTCTTTGCAGACAGCGCTGACTTAGTTACAAACTTCAAACATGTGCCAATCAGCTTGTTACTTGGACACCCGACCTCGCTCCGCCACTATCTAGTAGTCTTGCTTCTTTATTACAACTAACGAGCCGGCCCGCGGCATAACATACGCCGCTATTTAGTTGTTGTTTTTTTCTACTTTTCAGTAATTCAAAATTTGTGAATTCGACAGTACCAACGCTGCCACTGAAGATATTTCTTTAAAACACTATAAGTAGCTCGTTAAGGACCATAACCCTCCCCCCCTTTCCTTCCCCCCTTCCTCCCCCCCCCCCTACGATTAAAATCGTTGGCTCTGCTTGTAAACATTTAGAGTGAACACAGCTCACTAAAACCATGTAGGGGTGGGGAGGTAGGGAGCGCGTTTACAGCTTGTTTTCTAGGCGCGTTTGCAGCTTGTTTTCTAGCGGCTCCCAGAAGATAATTATATATATACGAGCCGACCCGCGGTGTATCATACACCGCTATTTAGTTGTTTTTTTTTACTTTTCAGTAATTCATAATTTGTGAATTCGACAGTACCAATGCTGCCACTGAAAATATTTGTTTTAAAACACTAAACCCCATCCCCCCCCCGTGAAAGCAGCTTCCTTTTAGTTACCTCCTCTAAGTTTAAAATAGTTTCAAACTGAATTATCTGCCCCTAATAGCCGTCACCAAACCCGGTCTCCCATTGTAAAATGTAAACAGCGTGAACTACAACTCACCTGACCATGTGAGGGGGGTGGGGGTCGGGGGGGGGGGATGGTAGCGATAGAGAGGAAGAGAGGGGACTGCAAGGCGCTCGCTTGCAGCTTGTTTTCTAACTGATCCCAGAAGATAATTATATATATAGATAGATATACTTAATATACTTAATATACTTATAAAAAGATGACATATATATAAGCAATATTTTATATAAAATATTCCACGAAACAGTCTCTCTCTTACTTATCAGACCTATTTTCTTTTAACACAAAATTAAATCGTTGTCTTAGTTTACCGATCCCATAAACAACTTTTTTTTAAAAAACATAGCTTTGCCTACTCTGGTTCTAATTTGTGGAACAATCTTCCTAATAAAATAAAACTCATTCTGAAATCTCATTCTGAAAATATATTTAAAACTAAACTAAAACAACAATTATTTAATGACCTCACTAACTGACTCATTGCAACATTTCTCATTCATCTATTATATTCTTATTTTATCTCATTTTGTATTTTAACTATGTATTATAATTTCTGTATTCCACATTTTCAGTGCTATGTTACTGCTATGTCTTTACTAAGCAATTGCTTTTTTAAATGCTGTTATTACGTTGTTGTTGTTTTTATTAAAACGGCCAATGTGAAAAAGGCCTCAGTGCCTACTATTGTTACCGTTATTGAATAAATTGAATACATTGAAACTAAACTTGTGAAAGTTTTAGTTTTCGATGTATTTTTAGTGCGTGCCAGACTGATAGAAAGAATAGCGAAAGTGTTAAATAGAACTAGATAAATGAGGGAAAAGTACAACGGGCACACATTTGACAGTTTTGTCTTTTTCTCTAAACCAAAATCAAATTCAAAGTCACCACCTCAACTGCTTACGAAAAATGTCATTAAAATCGAATGTTCATCTGGATTCGGCATTTTATTCGGATCCGGAAATTTAAACTGAAATAAAGCGTCTAATAACCCAAATTTCAATGCTGATTCTAACGCTGTATATATATATATATATATATATATATATATATATATATATATATATATATATATATATATATATATATATATATATACATATATATATATACATATATATATATATATATATATATATATATATATATATATATATATATATATATATATATATATATATATATATATATATATATATATATATATATATATATATATATAACTTTTCCCGTATTTGTTTTGTATATCTACATTCACTTCTTAAATTAGACATTAAAATTTGTGTCTCTATTATCCATGCCGTCTCTGTTATTGTGTATCGTTTTCGACATTGTAGTTTTTATTCAACAATCAATTTATGTATAGATGCTTAATGTAGAAATGTCCACATTGCTTTATCTGGTAACCTTGATCTACACGTAGTTACATTGAGGTCGTTTACAAGAGTTTCTGTCCTGAGTTGATCAATTGCCAAATGTATAATAAGTATCTGATTATTTTTTTTCAGAGAGCTAATCTTAAACTTCCTGGCAAACTTAGCTTGATCTTAGTTGGAAAAGCAGATAGTGGAAAGAGTGAAACTGGTAATTCCATTATCATGGGTAAAAATCATTTTAAAGCTAGCGTATACCCATCTTCACAAAATTGTGAGTACAATGGTTGCGAAATAACAGTTGCTGACTTACCTGATATATTCTACACACACTCAACTAATGAAGAGAAAACTGAAATGTTTTCTGCTTTAATGCAGAATGTTTTACTGGCAAACACTGATGGATACCATGCCTTTCTTTTTGTCCTAAAACTGGAAACTCCCTTCACACACGAAGAAGAAAAATTTTTCGAGTTTCTTAAAACGAATTTAGGGAGCGATTTCATAAAAAACTATGGCATAATTGTATTGACAATAGGAGAAAATTATAAAACCCAACCATATTTGGACATGACATCGATTTATGAACAAAAAACTTATAAGTTTAAAAAATTATTTGAAGAATGCAATAAAAGACTTGTTTTATTTAATAACTACAATAGTAATGATAACAAAATTTATCAAAGAGATGAGTTATTGGACATTGTAATAGAGTTAAATAATGACGACAAAAAATACACCAAACGCCATTTCATGGAATTAAAGAATGTATTTAAACCTAGTAAGAATATTGCTATGATCACGGTTCCAATCAATACACAAAAACCTGAAAGAACAGAATTGAATCAAACTGTTGGTACAATGAAATCTCATCAAACAATTAGTACTCAAACAGAAATGCAAAAATCAGAAATAGAAGTCCACACTCTTGATAAAAAAAGTCCGATTAGTGAAACTGTGCGGGCAATAGCGCACGATAAAATGATACATGAAAGGAAACATACAGAAACAACAGATCGTAAAAGCTCAGACGACAAAAAGGTACCAAAAAAAGTCTATATATGTTTAGTTAGATTCTTAGTAATCTAGTTCAGTTTGAGATAATAGGATTTCACTGAAACAAAGGGGAATGAAAATAGCAACTATTATTTCATCAAAATTGAGTACCATCAAAATATAATATCATTTGATAGTATCTTTCTTATTTGTGGAGCTAATCATTATATTAGCAGAACTACGCCGCCACTCTCACATCATATCGATCCAAATATCTTTTCTCACTATCGAATAAGTGTGTATTAGAGTTTATTTCATGCAATATCCATTTATTACATAATATTTTTGTTTATTGTCAATTCGTCCCTTGATTCAGATCGTATATACATCATATTGTACTCAGGAGAAAAGTCAGTATAACAAATTGTTTTAATCTATTACATGGTTACAGAGTTACACGGCCATGGAGCAATACAGAATTATACAGACTAATTTTCTTTGCTTATTAACTTTTATTAAATAAAGTACAGCGTAACTCTCGAGCTATCGATTTTCACAACTTTATGGTTGTTTGGATCAAATCCCAAGCCCGTAAATCCAATAGGTATTAATTAAACTCCACTAAATAAACTACAGTGAAGAACTAATATCAAATACGTATTTGAGAGAAAAATTGTAGAACAAAAGGTTGATAATTATGTACGTTCGTGTGTGTGTGTTTGTGCGTGTGCGTTTGTTTATGTACAAACATATTTTTTTTATCAGTAATATTAATCAATGTTAGATTACTAAGATTTTATAACATATTTGGTTAAGGTGTAAATTAAGGATAATAAATATGCATTTTTTTTTTAATTTACTAGCTCCGGAACGCACCCTAATAATATTTGAAAATGGTTAAATGAAAAGTAGATGTTACTTGAGTTCATTAAAATGTTACTAAAAGTTACTTGTTAAATAGATAATGATGTAAATCGTTTCAAAAACTATTTCAGAAACGTTTAGCTTATCCGGAACTGGATCTTATTTTAATAGGTAAATCCGGTAGTGGAAAAAGTGCCACAGGGAACTCAATTTTACGACAGCAGGAATTTAAGGCTCATTGCAAGGCAGACTCTGATGAAAGGTTTCCTCAATACAGAACGACTATAATTGATGGGCGTAACGTTCAAGTTGTTGAGTGCCCCGGTATCATTGACACGGATATTGATAAACGGGGGGGAGTCGAGCGTGTGGTCCGCGCTATACAGAACGCAGTGTTGGCCAACCCCGAGGGTTATCACGCTTTTCTTATTGTGGTCGCCTTTGGTCAGCGTTTTTATAAGCAAGAACTAGATTGCATCAAGATTCTTAAACATATCTTTGGGCAAAATGTCATAAAAACCCACGGTATAATTGTACTAAGTTATGGAGACACATTCAAGCATCACGAGGTAAAAGAAGAAGTGACAATGAAAAAATACTGTGAAAAGCAAACAGGACCGCTTAAAGAACTTCTTATGGAATGTAACAACAGAGTTGTTGTTTTTGATAATTTGACAGAGAATGATTATATAAAAAAGGAACAATTAATATATCTCATTAAAAAAATCGACCTACTAAAAAGCTGCAGACAAATATCACCTGTTTTTGAAAAAGCCATTACATTTACATCAACGCTACAGACAGAAAAAAAAAATGATAATACACCAAAACCTTATTTTACAAGTAATACTTGATGCCAAAAACAAGGAAAATTGGTCAGATATTCTTAACAATATTAAAAATGTAATTAAAGAGCTGTTAAATGAGATTAACAAGAAGCTAGAAACAAAGGAGATACTTGGGCTATTAAAATTGAATATGGTGGAAACAATACGCTACATTGAGTATTGTGCTAAAACATATGAAATGAGTGATGAACTTTTTAAGGAAGTAGAAATTGAATTTTAAAAAATTAAACTCAGGTCAGACGAAGGCTTTTTTCATAAATGTTTACATCAGCTTGAAGAAATGATTGCCAACTTGAAGATTGTGTAAAACATGCTAAACTGATGCTTGGTTACTAATACTGCACATCAAGTGGTTGTTTTTTTTATTTTTGGTTGCTTTGTTACGAATTATAAAGCTATATATTTTAGTATAAATAGGTTTTATTACAATAAAATTTTATCTAGCTATCTTTATTATTATTTTATTATTTAAAACATACATTTTTATTTTAGCCAATGTAATGAATATAATTTTACTAGCACGTTGATAAATAAAATAATTTTAAAAAAAAACAATGTATATTAATTTTTTCTAATAATAAATAGAGCGAAATGAATGTATGTGGCTGATTTTGTATTTTTGTTACAATAACTGTTTTACTTCTTTACTCAATCATAGATAAGTAGGGCCTATATATGTTATTGTTGTTTCTCCTTTGTGGTACATAATTTTTCCCGTTTGCGCGCAGGTTCATCTGTTTTAATGGCCTTGGCTTACAGGAGGACAAAGTGTTCAGCACATTGCCCAGCCGCCTTAGTTTCTTTGACGTGGGTCAGTTACCCACCAGAGCTGGGAGGTGTCATGCATGTTCTAGAGACTCGAGCCCTGGGAAAAGTCGACAATATCTCGCCGGTTTTTTTTTATCCTTTAGTTTTCCCGTTGAGAATGTGGTCTAGAAGACGTCGTTTCGACTACAAAATTGGTTCCTGGCTATTTATTTTAAAGCTCAATCCAGCCTCCCACTGCTATCTTTCGAACTATATTCTCTGTATTCTCTATATTGTATACTATCTACACCGTTCTTCCTCTTTCATGTAGATTAAATCGCAGTGAAAACAATGTGAATGTCAATCAGTCGCGTCTTACGTTTCTTTAGCCCACTTTGAAGATAAAACAATTTCCGCTTTCGTGTTTGTAATGGGTGAAGTGTACCAAACAAAATGTATAATTTATTAATGAAGTGCAGGGATTGTTTCACAATTTCAGTACGTTTAAAACAAGATCCGTGTATCCTCTACAGCATAGCACAGTCAGAAAGACATACTAAAATTACATCGAATACTGACGTACCGCTTCTCTTTTGCGATCGAGCTTACTATTTTTGTCAGATTATACATTTCATCATTAGAATGAATTTAACGTGTTCACGCGATTTTCTGTCCGGTATGTTAAGCGAAATGTAGGTATTTCATACCTGTACGGGTTGCACACCGCTACCCTATATGTCGATCTTGTACCTTGATATATTAGGTTTCTCCTTTGGTTTCAGAAGAGTGTCATAATTCCTCAGGCTGTTCCCTTTATGAGTTGTGTCTCAACTCGATATTAGCCCAGTACATATAGATTACCTTAGTATTACCCTCCAACTTAGGTGCCAGAAGTCCATTTTATTAATCAGGCCGGTATAAATCATTCTTTGCACTGAGTTACATGAATTTTTATACTACTAAAACTCTAGGAGTTTGTTTTTAGTTCGTTTGTCGGTTCCACTTAATCAGTACATCTGCTCTATGGATAGAACTGTAAATACGTATTAGGTAGAGAACAATGTTCTTTTTTCCACAAATGCTATACACTAACCTAAATAAAGACCTTAACTAATTTTAAAGCATAGTATTTATTTGATGAATCTAATTATCAAAACAAGAAAGGTATTGTTATTTTTTATATTATTAGTAAACGAATTTGCTGAACATTATTTTTAGTTAATTATTATTAATAAATGAAGTCATTTAGGGGTGAGAGTCTGGCTTTTTGTGAAAACATTTATTTGAAGTATCGTACTTAATTTATTTATTTATTTGAGTTCTTTTTTTTTTCTGTGAGCTGGCAACATAAAGTTATCAAAATGAGAAATCTATTTCATCCAATGTATTAATTGTAAGTATGTAACTGACATAAATGCTTATGAATTTAAAAAAAAAATATTTCTTTTTTTCCCACGCTTTATATAAAATGTTATTATTTTATTATATCTTTTTCGTACAGTTTAAAATGTACTTGTATTGATAATATCAATTGCTTCATTTTATACTCTTATTATTGATATAATATTATTAATCAATTACAAATATATGATTAAACATTGTGTTTGTATCGGAACTATAAGGGATATTAGCATTAAATATAGAATAGATTTTCTTTAGTTGTTTTTTTTTTCGTATTGTTATTTGTTTTGTTTGTATTGTATCGTGCGGCGTCAAACCGGCCCGTGACAAAACGGCCCCGTCAAAACAACCCCGACAAAACGGCCCCGTCAAAATAGCCCCGTCAAATTGGCCCCGTCAAAAGGTTCATAGACAAATGGATCCCGTCATTTAGGCTCCAGTCAAAAGGGCTACCGTCAATAAGGCTCGCGACAAAAAGGCTCCCGTCAATAAGGATTCTAACAAATAGGCTCCCGTCATTACGACAACCGACAATTTGGCTCATATCATTTAGGCTCCCGTCATTTAGGCTCCAGTCAATTAGGCTCACGACAAAAATGGCTCCAGACAAAAGGGCTCCCAGCAAAAGGGCTCCCGTCAATATAGTTCCTGATAAAAGGGCTTCCGTCATTTAGGCTCGCGTCAAATTGGCTCCCGTTAAATTGGCTCATGACAAAAAGGCTCCGGTCATTAAGACTCTCGATAAATTGACTCCCGTCTATGTGGCTCCCGTCATATAGGCTCCCGTTATTTAGGCTCGCGACAAATTGGCTCCCGTCAATATGGCTCCTGACAAAAAGGCTCGTTATTTTGGCTCACGTCAATACGTCTCCCTACATAATGATAATGGCTCATATCAACACCCACCATTCCTCAATGGACTACAATGGACTACATAAATAAGCCTAAGATAATAAAGCGTCCTTAGCTTTAGGTCGCCATGTCTTAATTTTTTAAAAAAAGTATTTCTTGTACTGTATTAATTTTTAGTTTAGTGGCCATCTGTTACATTTCTACTTAGGGGTGTAGGATGCTGCAGCCCATTATACACATGCCAGATTAGGGTCCCTACGATACAATTACAGTCAATATGCTTCCAGGTTATTAAAAAAATATGACTTCTTTGACTCGTTGCCCTCTTTTGATAGCCAAATAGAGGACACGTAACTGTTTGACCGATCCTCCAAAGTGTACTGTGGCGGATGGGGCAAGGGATGGGCACCAACAAGGCCGAGTTCTATTTCCCTACAACCAAACACACGCTGTCGCCAGCAAAAATTTTTTTTAAAAAACAACAATGTCCATGGCACGAGCAGCCGCTACATATGAAGTGGGCTTTCGTGATGCGCGGTTCTTATTTGCGGCATTTGTTAGGGACCCGAAATCCATTGTACATTTTTCAATGTTAAATAGGTGTTTGTGATAGTGGTTGAATTTGTATCCTGTACTATCTTGTATCCTACAAATAATAAAAAAATAATATAATACTAGAAACTTCAGTTTTATATCCGCTTACTTTTTTTTTGTTTTTACAAGAAATATAATAGTAAACTTTTAGGGCCTATACTTGGAATTATCTCCCCTTAGTAAGTTTTACAAAGGGCGATGCTGACGTACATAAACGCTTTGTTGTCTCTTTCAAGTTTTTTCCCGAGCCGACCCCCATCCCACCCCTCTTTTTAACCTCGCAAGTATCGAGTAGATAAATGTATCGTTTATGAACTATTTCCTAGGCTTGCGATTTGAAGTAGACTAACACATTGCTCAAAAGGCATGCATAATGTACAGACCACCCCCACCCCCTCCCCCACGCCTTGTAATCTATATATATAATTCTCTTCTGGGAGCCGTTAGAAAACAAGCTGCAAGCGAGCCTTACAGTTCCCTCTCTTCCTCTCTATCGCTACCACCCCCACCCCCCACCCCCTCACATGCTCTGGTGAGCTGTGGTTCACGCTGTTTACATTTTACAATCACGGAGACGGGTTTGGTGACGGCTATTAGGGGCAGATAATTTAGTTTGAAACGATTTTAAACTTAGAGGAGGTAACTAAGAGGAGGCTGCTTTCACGGGGGGGGGGGGAAGGGGGGGGGGGTTAGTGTTTTTAAGCAAATATTTTTAGTGACATCATTGGTACTGTCGAATTCACAAATTATAAATTACTGAAAAGTAGAAGAAAAAAAAACTAAATAGCGGCGTATGATACGCAGCGGGTCGGCTCGTACTAGATAGTTAACATCTTCGTTTGTTGTTTTTGTAGTCCAGGGATAAATGTTTCAAAAGCATGTTTGCTAGCCGTCATCCTTTTATGACGTCAACATGGTGGGTGGAGTGTCGATTAACATCGACTGTTGTGGACTGGGAAGGTGGGAGGGGGTCCATGTGGACATCCGTACATTGAAATTAACATGTGAAAAACCTAGACAACAAACGCAAAATGTGTAATATGCATGCTAAATTTAAACAGAAACAGCTGAGCTTGGGTCGTGTGGCGTAAACAACAGCTCAGCATGCACTTAAATCAGGTTAATATAAAATTACAATACTCGAAACTTTGTAGAAAGCGAACTGTTTAAAGATAAAAATGTGATAACTCCTCAGAAAACGGTTTCTTTGTCGGGAAGTGTTTTAAGTCGGGAGTTATTTAACCGGAGCCATTTTATAGTGAGCCAATAAGTCGGGAGTCATTTAGTCGGGAGCCAATATGTCTGGATTTCTTTTGTCTAGAGTCCAATTGTCGGGAGCCATTTTGTCTAGAGCCAATATGGCGGGAGTCCTTTTGTCGGGAGCCCAACTGTCGGGAGCCCATTTGTCGGGAGCCAATATGTCGGGAGCCCAATTGTCGGTAGCCAATATGTCGTGAGCCCATTTGTCGGGAGCCCATTTGTCGGGATTCAATATGTCCTGAGCCTATCTGTCGGGAGCCAATATGTCGGAAGTCTATTTGTCGGGAGCCTAAATGTCGGGAGCCCATTTGTCGGGAGCCTATATATCGCAAGTCAATATGACGGGAGCCCATTTGACGGGAGCCA